TTTACTGACCATTTCATTTATTTTACTGACCACTTAAATGATAGCCTTTAATTAAACCAGGTAATTTTGCAATAAAATCGGAGATTTCGTCTGCTGTACGCATATCCGTTACACTATACTGGGCTGTTTCATCTAATTGAATTTGTTCACGTATTTTTTTAGGTACATCACGATACAAGAAATCACGTTTGTCAAGGACTAAATCCTTTTTATCATTGAAATTTTGAGGAGATAATGGTTTACGATTTGAGTAATTGTTATTATTATTATTTTTCCAATCCACTTTTCTTCTCAAACCATTACTTGGACTTTTATTTCGGTTCCAATTATTTCTTTCATTAGTTGGAGGTGGATCATTTTTGTTCCAATTTTGTCTTTCTTTACTATTACTTTGCCAATTTTGTTGATCTCCATAACCTGGACTCTCCCTTGGATTACTTCTGTTATTCTGTTTCGATGATGTCTTCGGATCTGGTTTGTTCCAATCATTATTTCTATTCTGTTCTTTTTCAACATACATGCACTTCTCTAATACAAGCTTTATATAGCCTCCATTGCTTTCCTTGGGTGTGGGTGTGCACTCTAAAAAAAATCGGTTCTTTACTGAACCCCCAAAAAAGGTTCTGGAGATTTCGAAAAGCATCCAAATGTGTCAAAAGTCGCAAAAAAAGGATAAAAAAATCTACGAAACCTTTAAAGGTTCTTTCGGTGTACCCAGAATAAGAACCTTTTTCCCGCGAAACCTTTTTTTAAGTTCCGTAGAGCAAAAAAAGGTTTCGTAGGAAAATACGGAACCTTTAAAGTTTCGTATTAAATTCTACGAAATCATGAGGGTTTAGTGCGAAATTATTAGATTTTAATATAAAACTCTAAAGGTTTCGCATTTTCCTACGAAACCTTTTTTTGCTCTACGGAACTTAAAAAAAGGTTTCGCGGGAAAAAGGTTCTTATTCTGGGTACACCGAAAGAACCTTTAAAGGTTTCGTAGATTTTTTTATCCTTTTTTTGCGACTTTTGACACATTTGGATGCTTTTCGAAATCTCCAGAACCTTTTTTGGGGGTTCAGTAAAGAACCGATTTTTTTTAGAGTGTGGGTGTGGGTGACTCTGGGTTCCGCGAATAGAAGACAGTACCTTCATACCTCCCACCCACACCCACCCACACCCACACTCACACACCCACCCACACCCACACCCACACCCGCCCACACCCACCCACACCCACACCCACCCACACCCACACCCATCCACACCCACACCCACACCCACACCCACACCCACACCCTCTCTTAAAAACAAAATTTTTTGATTAAGTTGCTTGGTAAAACAGTAATATATTATTGAGAATTCGGTAAAACATACAAATTTGTCTTTTAACAGTTATCTCATACTAAGTGAGTAAAACTGATGCTAGTCTATAGATTATACAATATTTTTCACTTGTATTGATAGGAATCTTTGTCGTTGAAAATGACAAAGTAACTCTAAACTGAGGAAATCTGTCATTCTAAATCGAACATAAGTTAAAATACATAATGTATTTCTAATTATTTCAGAGGCTTGCGATCAAGCTGTTAAACAAAGTTTAAAGATTTCTTAGCAAAAACGTGTTGTGCATTATAGAGTTCTCGAAACGATTAACTTTGTGATCATTTTTATTTTTTTTCTGTTAAGTTATTGTGTTCTGATCCATCAGCATCATTTCAGATAAACTTTAATCACTTCTGAAGATAAAAGGTGTAAAGTGTTTTGGACATAGGAAAATGCCCAAAACACAGGTGCTTTTATTGATAAATTTTCAAAGCTAGGGAAAGGTAACGCTCCCTTCTGTTATTTACACTTCTGGTGATTATTATCTTCTGGCAATTCAAAAGCCAACATTATTATCAATAAATTCTTCTGTATGCGCCAATAAAATTCTAATAAATTATGAAGAAATTCTTATGTCTCACTTACACATTTTGTGAGCGAACTATCTGAAATTTGAATCACATCTAAAAATGTATTGTGAACTTCTTATGAATATATTATTTGATGAATGAAACATACTATCATTTCAAGTTTTTGTGTGGATGTGATCAGAAAGCGAAAAACTTTTTTTTAAATAAACCCATCAAAGCATATTATGTAAGCTGATAATTTCAAATGTTGAAAGTATTGCTTAATATAGTATGACAAAGGAAATCATTACTAGCGCTTTTTATCCAAGACTGAAAATTCGTCAAAAATTGAAGTCCGCTTCCATAAATTTTTTGGAAAAGTTAAAATAGTTAGTAATGAACAAGAATTTAGTTTCAGCCGAAAAAAAAAGTCACACAATTTGTGATAAAATACGGATGAGATGGAGATCATTTCAAATAAAAAACAGTCCCTACTATGTCAAATGTTTATAGTTTTAGAGTTTTCGATTAAGACTTATATGCAGACAATCACAAACTAATCTACTAATTCAGAAAAAAAAAATTGTACTGAAGTACACTATTTGCAGCTTATTAACATTCGAATAAGAAAAATATATCAGAAGTTTTGTGCCTTGCAAGTTTTGAAAATGTGAAAGAACTAATTTTAATAACTACCAAAATTGATTCAATAATACACTTACGTGAAATTTTAGCATTTAAAAAAATCTTCTTGCTTAATGTGCTTGTTATCTGCGGTTTCTGTTGTAACTTTGAATCTTTCCTCACCCCTTCTATAACAGCTTCTAATACGGTTATAATGTCTTGATTATGCGTCGTAATATGTTTGAGCAAATGTTTCGTAAATAAACCATTCCGTTCTCGCTTGTTTTCCAGTTCTTCAGCTGCTGATGTACCGGGTGCACAGGCATTTACAATTAAATATTCGTCATTGCAGTTTGTATTCGGACTCTCAGTAGAAGCATCATAGTCAGAAGGACCACGCACAGCAGTAGCTTTTAATAACGCATGGTTGCGCAGATGATAGAGTCGGCAGCAATCCAATAGAAAAATTGTTACATATGGATTTTGACCGTTAAAAGCATTCAGATAGAATTGAGCATTGATTGCACGATTCTCTAATGACGTACCTTTGTTGTGAACATAATCTTTCGGCAATAAATAATTTTGGTCCTAAAAGAATTATCCATGAACTTCTGTTTGCAAAATGAAAAACTCATCTAAGGAAATTCTAAAACTGAAACTAAAAATCATATGGAAATTTCTGAACAATATAAAGCATACAGAACTCTATAGGCTTTTATCAAAATGTGCCATGTGTTATTTGGACCTAAATGTACTATTTTAGTAAGTGCAAAACGATCTATTAACTACTCGTCGTGTAAATATTTTATAAAGCTATAATATTGTTACAGTTGTGAAAAGACTTCATAAACGTTTAGCACTGACTTTAAAAATCTTATAAGGTTAAATTAAACTTTGTAAAACTTGGATACATACTTCCCATTGTAGTCCGTGACCAGCAAAATACAATACGACTATATCTCCTGGTTTTATTGAATATTTAAAGTCATTTAGAACATGTTCCATTCTCTTGCATGTTAGGTCTTCTGGTTTCGGTTTAGAAACAACAAAACCAATCTTTTTCAGTATAGTCGACATATCAGTAGCATCATTTTCAGCATTCTCTAATTGCTTTTCATGATCATAATTACTTATACCAATTACAATTGCCAACTTAACACGTGGCTCTGAATAAGTATCAGCTTGGCTTTGAGTCGCCATTAATAAAAATTAATCTAAAACGAAAACAAATGCATCTACTATCATGTGAAACATTGAGATAAGAAATCAAGCACTAGCAGCACAGCGCACATCTGAAATACCTCTTCAAATGCATCTTCTTTAAACCAGATAAGGACTTCTCTTAGTATCATTAACAGATATTTTGATGAGATTTGAATATAAGCTAACGTATTTTGATTGAATGTCAAGTTTTTTCAATGTCACAATAAATAGGTGTAACAATCTCCTATGTATCTTAAATCCTAATGTAGCAGAAAGCTAAAAGCCTTTTGTCAACCTTGTGGTAGAGGACATTGTCTGAAAACGGTTTCATTCGCCTAACATAGAGACTACAGATAATATTCTCTGTAGTCTAGATGAAGAACCTATCATTCATTGGAGTGCGGATGTGAGTATTCATATGATGGGTTATATAAGTTTCCAGGAAACTCTTTTATTTTTTCCACACTGATCAATTTCCGGAAATTGATTTTGAGTTTCCAGAATAGAAATTCAGTTTTCCTTGAAGATACCCATGGACATAATGGGCATAATAGGTATAGTCGTCATATTGGATATGATCATCAAAGGTATTAAGCTCTTACATGTATTCCAAATGCTTGAATTCTAAAAAAACGACAAACATCACATCGCACCAGGTGTGGGTGCGGAGAAAGGAGTTTCACCGAGAGAGACTCAAACAACATCGCACCAAGTGAGGGTGCGGAGAAAGGAGTTTCACCGAGAGAAACTCAAACAACATCGCACCAGATGAGGGTGCGAAGAAAGGAGTTTCACCCAGAAGGACTCACTTCACATCGCGCGAGGTGCGAACTGAAAAGGGAGTCTCAGCGGCAAAGGCTCACAGAGCATCGCGCAAGGTCGTTGATTATGCCCATTATGTCCATTATGCTTATTATGCCCAGTGTAATATCTTGCAGAACTCCTTATGGCAACATGAGTTTCCTGGAAACTAATACAACGCATCGAATCGCACTTACACCCATACTCACACATCCTCACACATCACGAAGGTGTTTTTTTGGTATAGTAACTCGGAGCACGACATGAGTCTTAAACACCAATTAATCATTGTATTCATCATATACGGAGCCATTGAATTCAAGAAGTTATTCAAAACTTTGAATTTCTAAACCAAAATTTGAGAAAAACATGTTTCATGAATATTTTGATGAAAATCTATGAGAAACCAATTACTGTGATTTAAATTGGAAAAGATCAAATCTCTTACATAGTTTGTCTAATTTTTGTACTGCAACTCTTTACCAGCATTTTCTACCATTATATTTTCAAGATCTTTCGGGCCCAAGAAAATTTTTTATAATCTCTCGAAAACATCCAGCTACCATTGCCGACCAACTCATCAGCCTCACCCTCCACATAGGACTCTTAAAATATCAATGTATTCAGAATGTTAGATTCTGTGAAGGACAACTTTTAATCAAACGACGGCTACTGATGGGACTTGAGTGATTATGTGGACTATTCCTGAAGAAACAGCCAAACTCAGTATCTTAAACGAACCGACACTTAAACTCACCGTCACCCAATTTGTATTGATACTCTAAAAGAGATTATTTTTCAATGACGCACATCATGAAAAAAACAATGTTTTTCAAGAAAAAAATAATAAAAGTGAATACAGTATAATTTATAGCATCTACTTGCCCATGTTATTTACGCACTTCTTTTCTTCCTTCCACTCATATACACTCAAAATGTCTCTTACATAAATAATTTTTTTTGTGTAGAGAAACACAAAAACATTGCATAGCGACTAAATAAATGAAGTGTGTGAATTCGATAGTTACCTACAATGAAACAATTCGATGTACATAATAAAATAACTAAAGAAATCTGGTACGTTTGGATTTTATTACGAAAAAAATTGCCGAAATTTTTTCGAAATTATTATTTTCGCTCACAAGAGAACATTCCCAGGTGCCCATTCGCTTTTGAGTTGGGACTTTGCGCATCTTGTAGACCTTAGTGAACTATATCTACCATAAAAGGGTGTCGGTGTGGGTGTAGGTGTGGGTGTGGGTGCGGTGTGTGGGTGTGTGGGTGTGGGTGTGGGTGTGGGGTGTGGGTGGGTGTGGGTGTGGGTGTGGGTGGCTGGAGGGTGTGGGTGTGG